TCCTTTTGAAGAACAAAGAAAAAGATTTCATTGGAAATATTCTCTTTCAAACAGAGATTCAAAAACTAGCCCAATCCGTCCGGAACAATTCAGACATTCCAGGTTGGAAGCACAATGACAATACTTTATTGCTACTTTCTTGTCCATTATTGCTGTTTTATATGGTATATATACCGCAGCAGAGTTTGTGTTGGGCATATATACGAGCCAGTTACTAATCTGAACATTAGACTGCATAGGAGGGAAATGACTCGGCGAAGTGCTGCTTCATACCTTCATATTTTTCTTTGGTCACTTGTGGCCATGACTATGCTTCTTGCTCAGGCTGAAAAGCCGGCTACATATATATTCGGAGACTCTACTGTTGATGTTGGGACCAACGATTACGTAGAGGGATGCCTAGCCATGGCAGATTTCCTTTTCAATGGCATCGACCTTCGTAACTCTATCCCAACAGGGAGATTCAGCAATGGCTTTTAATACTGCTCACCAAATAGGTACAATCTGCTAAGAAGAAAAAATAAAAACATTTTTTCGCATGCTATTTTCTCTTGTGCATGCATCTAATCAAAATCATGTTTTGTTTAGTGAGATTGTTGGGATATAAGAGAAGTCCACCACCATATTACTACCTTGTCATCCATCCCTCTGCTTTCAAGCAGAACATCCTCTATGGCGTCAACATTAAAAGATGTACCATATTACTACCTTGTCATTCAGGAGGAGCTGGAATTCTGAATGAAACAGGACAGACACTATATGTCAGTTTCATTTCCTCCGGTAATTCTGTTTTTGCAATATTGAGAAATGTAGGTACTTACATTTTCCTTGAATCTTCAGCATAAGGTCATATCCATGGCAGAGCAATCCAGCAGTTTTCATATGTCCGCGGAGTCATCACCAACATGACTGGTAGTGAACAAGCTACCAGTTCCAAGGCTTTCTTTCTCATCAGCGTTGGAAGCAACCACTTGTTTGACTATCTGAACAACCAAACAGTGTCTCCACAGGAGTTCCTGCAGACTACACTAACAGCGTACCAAAGTCATATAATGGTTAACACGCACATAAGCTTGATTTATTAAGGTTATAAATTTAGGAGTTGAACTTCATAAACTTAATACCTTTGTTAATTACTGTATTGAAATTACAGAACCTGTATGAACTTGAAGCCAGAAAATTTGGCATTTTGGGCGTTCCACCAATTTGGTGCTGCCCATGTGCACGGGGTTTCATGGTTGATGGTAACTGACTAACTGTTCCATTGATGCAAATAATTTAGCGCATGGATTCTACAACGGAACTGATGACTTCTTAAGCAGTTTCAGTTATGCATATCCGGATGTGAAGTATTCACTTGGAAATATATTCCAAATGACTAATTACATCATAGATGATCCGTTAGCTTTTGGTAAACAGTTTTTATCCTTCTCCAATTTTCCTTCTTTTTATCTCTCCGTCTACTCCTTAATGCTCATGGATTTTCCAGCTGCTAAACTTTATAGGTTTCAAAAACGTTGCATCAGCCTGCTGTGGAAATGCATCATACATATGTAACCAAATGGCAACCCTTTGTGATGATCGCCACGGGTTCTTGTTTTGGTACAGGTATCATCCAACTGAGGCTGTTTCAGAGTTGGCAGCACTAACCCTCTTTGGGGGTTCAGTAGAACTTGTCAAACCAGTGAACTTCAGTCAGTTGTTGCAGGTTAATGGCCAAGAGATATTCCATTAAATGCCATCAATCTCTGATCACAAAACAGGAGTGCTTGATGTTTCCTCTTCAATTAGTCCAAGCATTAATAAGAAGTTGCAGCTAAGAACTATACTATTTATCGGCCATCTGATTCAATAAGAATAATGCTGCTAGGTTTTTTTTTTTTTTTTGTAAGAATAATGCTATTTGATGTTACTATCATTATAAAGCATACTAGTTCATTATTCATAAGCTCTGGATTTTTATCTTCACTAACATAATAACACCATTCACCTATCCATGACTCTTCCTTTCTGATCCCCTTCCCTGAATCCAAACACATATAGCTTGAGTGATTTTCACTTATTTATCTCCCATCAGCCTTAGTAGAGAAAGTTTGTAGAGATCAGACAAGGGAAGGGCAATGTAGCAAATCAACATCTTCCGAGGCTTAAAATGCAGTAACACGTTGGCTAGAACAATCCGCCCCTCCTGGAAGTTTTCTCTGTCTTACCATCCTCTTTCTAGGCTAAGAAAATGACACCATCACCATCATCTGCTTGTTCACTTCAATAGTTTGTAGCGTGAATAACAAAAGAAAGGGCCAGCTCATAACATAGATATAAAGAACCAAACGCAAGAAATTCAAAAGAAGATAGACACAAACAAAAATCTGTAATGCTGTAGATGATTGTCCATTCACGGGCAAATTAAGTTGAACTATTTTTATCCTTCTGTTTTCCTCTCTCATTCATGCACAACTAGAAGGTTAAAACACAAGGGTCAAGATGGATGATTTCATTAGGATGCTTTTGGATCCACCGTTTTAGTAAATAAATAAGCCTTCTGAAGTTAGGATTGTTACTTTGTTACACTAGCATGCTGCCTTGTATGTGCATATTTCTCTCTTAGAAAAGGCTCCCCTTCGTACTCAGTTGTCTGTCAAATCTCAAATGGAAATCATCATCTTCTATTATAAGAGACTCCTTGACTCAAAATAACACAAGTGAGCTAAAGCAGTAAAAAGCCATAGCTAAAATTCGAAGTCAATCGAGATAAATATGTTACAAGATTTATGTAATAAAAGAATACAAGAACCGAATATCATATTGAAAAAGCAATATTTATGATATTGAAGCGTAATGCATACACAGTGCTACAAGTGTTTCAGAACAGCATTGGCGGAATGCTGAGCAAAATATTTTTGCCTAAATTGTACATATGGGTAGCCAATAAATGACAGAAAGTGAGCAGGCTTCGAGAAGGAAAGAATTTCATACCATACCTGGTTGTTCTCATCTAGCTCAATTGAGAAGCGTTCCTCCCCAGCCTGCTTTCAGCAAAATTCAAAGCCACATCAGTAACTCCAGAACTATAGATATACTAAGATTTATATTTAAGTTCAGTAACACCACAAATTCAGGACTAGGACTGACCAGTAAGTGCCCTTGCAAGGTGCCACTGCCAAAACCAAAAGAGGCCACAGCCTTCTTAGCATTTCTGTTTTCCTTCACATACACCACCTGAAGAGGCATCATGACCCACGGTAGAAATTCCTTGAGACAAACACAGAACTTCACTCCACTTCGAATTGGCGTCTTGGGATCAACAAATGCCCAATTTAATCCAAAATGCCTGCGAATTGAACAACAAACAAATCCAGGTCATCCCCCCGTAACAATCTGTTCATCACATCAGCCAAAGCAATCTACAAACCTCCAATTCTCAAGAGCTGCCTTGCCCTTCTCATAAGTCTCAACACCAGAACCAACCAAAACACGAGCATGATTCAAATGATAACCACCATTAGAGAGCTCCCTGTCCTCTTTGAGGGAAGACACAGACTTGTCAGTAGCACCTCTATATTTCGAATCATAGTTGAAAGTTCCCGACCTGGTGAATGGTATAAATTCTCATATATGAACATCCATTGAAAATATACATAAAAAAGACGATAAATTGAAGACACATAGTAACTTCAATTACTTGTTTATGCAAGATTTCTGCTGTTCAGAAGAAGGTCTACCCCAGCATAAGAAAACCATCTCTCTGTCAAAAAAAAAAAAAAAAAAAAAAAAAAAAAAAAAAAAAAAAAAAAAAAAGAAAAAAAAAAAAAAAAAAAAAAAAAAAAAAAAAAAAGGAAACCCATCTTTAAAAATTGTGCTTCTTCTTGAAGTTGAAGGTGGGCCAAAACCCATCTAGAGTGGAGACCCATCAAAAGCCTATGGAGATGGACCGTGAGTTGAGTAATAATGCACTAAAGCCGTAAAGCCCTTCAAGATACAGAATCAGGGTCGACCACTAAAGCCCGATATTGAGGAACGTGGGTTCTACTCTGGGCTTCTTCTACAGAAGTTATTTCAGATCCTGGATGCATCGGATTCTCGCCACGATCATTACCCCAATGGCCCCAACCTGATCCGATTGCGCCTGCGTTGTCAAATCACATAACGGCTACATCGTCCCCAGCTGTAATCACAGGGAGGAAAGTCGGTGTTCTTCTTTGTGACTCATCAAACATAATCACCGTAATCAGGATCCAACGGAGTAATTAGTAAACGAAATCACTTTCCTAATCAAGCTGAGAGTTACACACTTACACCCCCAGAAAAAGCTCTCCCTTTTACCCTCACCAGCCATGACAGCGTCGGTCGGAAGTTCCCCTGCCGCCCATTACTGGAAACTCAGGAAGCTCGCTGCTTCCCTTTTCCGTAGAGGCTTCAACTCCTCCAAATGGTACTCTATTTTTTTTTTTCGGGAACCCAGATGAATTTCTTCTCTTAGAATGGAATGTGCCTGTCATGGTTTCTAATTTCTTGCATTTTTTGTGGTAGGGGATCAGGGGTTATGGGTTTGAACTTGTTTCATTTATTTCTATTTCTACTTTCTTAACCCCCCTTTTTTTTTTCTTTTATTATGAATGGCAGCAAAACTGCGGCCAAGATGGCAGTGGCGAGGATAAAGCTACTGAGAAACAAAAGAGAGATGGTGGTTAAGCAAATGAGGCGTGACATTGCAATGCTTCTGCAGTCTGGTCAAGACGCCACTGCTCGTATCCGGGTATAGTGTCTATGCAAATTCCCCCATCTTAGTCTGTCCTTAGTATTAAGATGACAAAAAAGTATTGAGATGAAACCAACGCAATTATGTAAATCCATGTCTAATTTCTGCACTTCTTGATTTTTGTAGGTAGAACATGTTTTAAGGGAGCAGAATATTTTAGCTGCAAATGAGGTCATTGAGCTCTTCTGTGAATTAGTTGTGGCCAGGGTTACCATCATTGCTAAGCAAAGGTAAGAAATTTTGAATTTCTTTTGGTCACATTCTGAAGTTAAGGCCTACATTTTCTAGCATCTAATTGAAGTTTCTCAAGGTAGCACATGTTGTTTTCTAACATGGCTGAATGTGTTATAGGGAATGCCCTGCGGATCTCAAAGAAGGAATTGCTAGTTTGATTTTTGCAGCCCCAAGATGTGCAGAAATTCCAGAACTACTAGCAATTAGAAATATGTTTGAGAAGAAATATGGAAAAGAATTTGTGTCAGCAGCTACTGATCTGCGGCCTAATTGTGGTGTTAATCGTCTGGCAAGCATTGCTTCTTGTTATTGCAACTATTGCTTCTACAATCTGCTCTCTTTTGCATGTTGTGTCCTATAATGAAAGACTAATATTGTTTTCCTTTTTGTTATAGCTTATTGACAAGCTCTCGGTTAAGACACCAAGTGGTGAAGTAAAGCTGAAAGTGATGAAGGAAATAGCAAAGGAGCACCAGATAGAATGGGATACTACTGAATCAGAAAAGGAGCTTCTAAAGCCTCCCGAGCAGCTTATGGTTTGTTTCTCTCCTCCCTCTCTTAGATGTGCACCATTCCACACTCACACATCACATGCACAAATTTTAGCTCAATTACAATCTAAATTTATTTATAATCCCGTTGATCAGGAGGGACCGCGTGCTTTTGTTAGTGCATCCAGATTACCTGTAAAACCTGCTGATCCTGCTCTCAGTCATTCTGTTGACACAAGGAACAGGTAACCCCAACTTTGTGTCAAATACATGATCTTTAGGAAAGATCAGATTAGGAGATTTGTACTATACTTTGTCTTCTGATTCTTTACCAGATCAAGAAGGGGTGAAAATGGTGACCCCATGCATTTTGAAGACACGGCATCAGCTGCTGAAGCAGCTGCTCAATCGGCAAAAATGGCAATTGCTGCTGCACAAGCTGCTGCTTATCTGGCCAACAAAAACAACAATCAGTTTACTCACACAACTGGTTTTGGTAAAAATCCAAATGCTTCAAGTACCAATTATGGATTAGGAACCTTTCCTGGGAACTCTGCTGGCGAGTTCTTTGCAACTGATCCTTCAGTCAATCCTCAGCATATGGAAACCAGAGCCCCTGGGAGGATGTATGACTCTCACGGTTTTGATAGGTCTCGTTGTCCAAGTAACGAGGAAATGAGGCCTAACAATGATTTAGACCGAAAAGTCCCCAGGAGACACAGCTACAATGCCCCTTCTGTGCATTCAGATGTTAAGTTTGATGAATCAGATTGTGATGAAGATATAGAAGTTGAAGAAGGTGCTCCACGCCGCTTTAGTCTTCCACCTGAGCGGTCTCCACCACCAGTTCATTTCTCTCAAGTGAAGCAGGCCCCTGTCCATCGTGTTCATCCCAAATTGCCTGATTATGATGATCTGGCGGCACACTTTGAAGCTCTCAAGCAGCACAGAGCAAGAACCTAAGACCATCAAATACCTTCAAAAACTGGTCTTTGCGTTTATATACTTGGTAATTTGGTATACGTATTCCGTACTTGAAATATTCATTTTGCATTTTACCAATTTTCCTTGAATCGTATTGTACACCTTGTGGAGATATCTCCAATTTTCTCAAAGATTTGATGTTATATAATAACAGAAACCTTCCTACCTCGTGCCTATGCTCCTGGGCATCGATCCCAGTCTATCTGCCTGTGGAAATTTGGTGCATCACTGCCAGTTTCTTTGATCCCCAGAAAAGTACCATTTGGCCTAAGAAACGATATATAAGCACACAACTGAAAGTTTACAAATAGTTCTCCATCCAGTGTTAAATGTTCTAACAAAAGTTTTAGCTTCAAATTTTATCGTCATGTAACCATTGTTCAGTATAACAGTGGTTTGGACTGCAATTATATTAAATTTGGTGCATGACAGAAGCAGAAGCAATTCAGATTTCAGAGATATTGTAGCTAAATAAAATGAGAGACGAGAAGAATCACGTGACAATTTTCACTAAAGATCTAAAAACTGAATCATCTGGAACAATCCCTACGTATGAATCCTGCATCTTGTCTTGCTAAAGAAATTATACCAAAGAACCGGACTCTCAAACGGAGCTGACAACGAATTTTCAGGAGAAAAAATTGTGGAAAAGATAATGGTACAATTACAATGTCCTGCAATATCAGTGACTCAGCAGCAACGGCATTTTAAAACATCCAAGAATGTATAGGGTCTTGACTTCTCTTCGAGTTCAAGCTGCGTGGGCAAAGGTTCAAAAGTGCATATGTTGGTTCTAGCACAACAGAAGTTGTATAGATTCATGCAAACTCCTTTACTGAAGGGATATACTCGCTCAGGAATTCCACTGCAGATGACAGTAGTTCAATATATTAGAAGCTGAAGCACGTCAACTGGCCAATTATTAGTTTTTCAGTACTTGCATGACAGATGTGTTAGAAAATTGTCTTGAGCCAAGATTCCATAGCATAGATTCCTGCCTCCTACATTTTTTATTTTATCAATGACTATTTCTTGCCTTCAACATCGAGGTAAAGGAAATAATGAAAGCTGCCTTACCACCTTTACTATTTCCTGAAGCATTAGTTATGTAAGTTGCATTATTATGTGATATTGCATGTTTCAAGATAAATCTAGCATATGGCCAAAAATAAAAAATAAAAAATAAAAAAGAAGATAATTCTAGCAGCCTGTTCAGATAGCATGAAGAGAATGCTAAACCAAAGGAGAGATAGAGGAAAACCATTAACTACCTTAGGTATAAGACACGTCTACGTCTCACAAGTTCATAGGTAGTTTGATTGGTCAAAACAAGATAGCTGCATGTAGAATGAATGACATCTAGATTAGAATTTATAACTTTGCTTATCCCATTTGAGTTCCCAATGGGAATTATTATGACAAAGAAAATCGTCCAAAGACATTGCAGAAAATTAGAACTGTCAAGGTCAACATTATATAATTACAATAACAATAATAAAAAACAGCTGAAGGCATTTGATACTGAAAATCAAATAAGAATGAATGGGCACAGTTACCTATGAAAAAGTAGCAGCAGCAGCAGAAAGATGAGGGAAATTAACAAGAAAATCAACAGCATTATGATGATAGCATCCTTCCACCTGTCAATATTTCCAGGTCCCATTTTAGATTAAGGTAAAATGTAAGCTGAAGAAGTAATCCAGCTGCCAAGAATTTCACATTACTGGCAAGGCCATTCTTACAACTCAAAGATAACCTACCATGCCCTTGTTATATTACCCTTGAGGTATGTAATGTAAAAGATTGCAGTCCAGAGGCATAATGCTGTCTCTTCACAAATGTACCACCTAATTTACAAATATAGACAACAAATAACATATATCCTAATTAGGAATAAATACATCTGAAGCATTATAAGGAGTAGTGGGAAGAATTCTAAACAGTCTCAAAACATCAACAGACTAAGTAAGGTCCAACTACCATCAATAAGCAAAGAATAATGCTTTTACAATCTGAAAATCAAATTTATGAACACAAACCATTTCAAAAAAAAAAAAAAAAAAAAAAAAAAAAAAAAACAAAATCAAACAAATTGAAAGAAGTTGAAAACATGGTGCCCATGAGCTTGGAATCAGTTTATGATGAGTATATTGTCAATCTCCAAAATCCACACGTTAGATTATACCATGATGACTACATATATGGGCACAATTTACAGCTGAATGATATAGACTCACCAAAACCGACAATGATTACCCTGGCCAATGCATGTCCCTAGCCAAACACAATGATGATCAAACTGGAGAACGCATCTCTCACAATCATGACAATGCTTTGCTCGTGGAGGCTGAAAGGGTGCCACATAAAATATAACTGACAATCAAATGTCATGTGAAAGGTAGTAAAATATCATGTAATCATGAAAGTATTGTTGGGAAATTTTCATTGATAAAATTGTGTTTGTACATGAAAGATGTGCATACACGATTATTGTACCTGTTCAACATGACAATATGAGCACGTACAACTCCTGCAATAACCAAAAAAAAAAAAAAAATTGTGGTTTTCAATAAATTTCCACTGTATTTGGTAGATTTGTCAACAATGTGCTTGGAGAACATAAGATTACGGAATGATAGCCTTTGAACTGCAATTATGTTGGTTTGGTACAAAGAGATGCAAAAGGAGAAGTGAAAAAGGTAAGGCTCCAGCAGTTAGAAAAACCTTGAATCCTTTATGTCTGCCTATTACATTAGATGCATAAATTTTACAAACTAAATGTAGAAACATCATTCTGTATGGTTTTAACTTATTCCACATGGTCCCTCTACTTCAGGCATCAATAAAGGAAAACTGTCCAGTTTCCAAACCAAAAAGGAACAAATGTTCTATGAAATGTATTGCCATCCTTGTACCTCTTGAACACAACATTTGGAATTTTGGAAGACTTGAAACATCATGAAAAAATGATAATTTATAATGTGATACTGTTTTAAGACTATATACCTATGAAAGTGCTAAAACAAAAATATCTAGTAAACGTCAGCAAGAGATCATTCAGATGGTAAGTTCTGCTACCTAACAGTTGTTCCTCGTGGATACATGTCCATCACCAGTTTTGTCCAAGATATGGCATTACTCCCTTGAGCATTTGTACCTGATTCTCTCTCCACAGTAACAAGCAAGCTTCCATTTCCGTTTGAAGCAGACTGTCTTTGCTTAAACATTATAAGATTTATAAAAAATATTAAGATTCAACCTAATACAACAATGTTTATGTTCTATTCTTTTGCAGATTGTTTTATTTTAGAAATGTAATTTAAAGGGTATTAAAGAGGGAGAAAATGACTTACTTTGAAGCTATTGGTGCCTTTCTAAATATTACATTTCTCTCATTAGTAGCCCTCATTGCATCAATGACGTAACTAAAAGTAGGGGAAAAAAAATCAAGGAGAAAAAAGTAAATGACTTATTTCCAGCTTTTGCTCTAAAATTTGGTCTGAGGAATAGTTCGTCACTTCATTGATAATTACCCGGGTGAGGAACAAGCAGTAACAAAGTATTGCACCAATGTGGTGATCCATAATAACAAATATAAAGCAGTGTACCTGATAAAACCAACAGGAAAAAGATAAATTGATTGCTATGAAGTTGGGTTTCAATTATAACTAAAAGCTTGAAACAGAAGCAGAGTATTCAATTAACAAAATGGGTTTTGATTTTGAAGGAAGAGGCACCGACACATCTGCTGTGTGCTAATAGGAATTTGTTGGATTAACCATTTGATGTAAGAAGTAGTAGATAGGTTCTTGAATTGAACCTTAGTTTGCTATTAGGTAACTCCATGGCCCTAGTTCGCCTAGAAATGTTACCCATTACTCATAATCTAACTTCACTAATATGGTCAATATGCTTTCATAACAAAGTTGGCAATAACAAACCCCATCATACAAATGTGAACAGAAAATGGAAGATCAAAATTAAATGGGCACATCTGCATGGTACTTTTGGTACTGAGTATGGTTTAAACGGGTTTATGTTCAAATTAGCTGATAGAATTTCCAGCCATAGTATTAATGTATATCAAAGATCCCAACTTTAAACTCACAATGATAACAAAGGAATTCAATCCAACTGATGCTTCTACATACCATGGTTCTGTTTTCGTTTCGTTTATCAAATCACCATCGAAAAGGAAGATAATGCCCGCATATATCAGATGCAGCATTACTAATGTCACTCTCAGACCCAAAGCAGCACGCCGAGCTACAAAAATCCACCAATAAAATCCCAAAATCAACAAAGGAAGATACCCAAAAAAAAAAGGGGGGGAATTGGAGAAAATGATAAGCGATCGAGTAAATATAAATATGTCCCGGTTTAGGACTGAAACATTCTATTTCGGATTTTCCTGGTAATTTTCTCGGCAACCAAAAAGAAAAAAAATAAAATAATGATAATGAAGAAGCAGAAAAATACCGGGATCGGCGAGACAAGGGAAGACATGGAAACATCTCTCGAAAGCTCGATCGCTTAAGGGGCGGCATAAACCCGCAACCATGATCGTCGTAATGGGAACCAAAAAACTGTCAAATCAAATTATTATACGACGACCACCGCTTGATGTTGCATCAGAATGCTTAGGTTTCAACTTTCAAGATAGTAAGAAAATTTATCTCTCCCTCTATCCTTTTTTTCCGGGAAAGATTTTCCGGGAAAAGTGACGAGGAAATAAACAAAAATTAGCAGATAAAGACTTTGAAAGCAGCATAAAAACCAGTAGGTGTAGGAGAAAGG